ATTTAGTTTAGTTTGAGTTCTATGAGTTTAGTTCTCAATTCGCATTTTAGTAGATTATAGTTTTAAGAGAATTCTAAAAAATCTCTCTTGTAAAATAGATCTTGATTAAGATCTATTAATTCATCTTGCTAATAAACTGAATATTACATCCATCTTGAAATTACATATTGGAATTGGACTACATTTTAGCTAGTCACAACAAGAACACTACCATTACCTATCTTTAGATTAACTTTAAAATAATAGTAGATATATTCTTGTTAATAAATCTTTTAAAGACTCTCTTAAATATCGCTTTAAGCACGTGGTCACTTTTATCACGTGTTTTTGTAATATTAGGTTTAATACTCGCCCCCACCTTAGAACTCACATCAAAAAGATAACAATATCAACACTCTTAGAGAGTCATTAAACGACTCATATATGTAAAGAAATTTGATTGGATTATAATAATCTGCAAGTCATGTGGTTATACGACAGGTGCCGAAAAATTTGAAACAGTATATTTTGAAAGAAAATAGATAATCAGGTATATCTGGACTATATTAACCTCATAGCTTTTGAGGTTTTCGTATTTTATTTATTGGCGCTCTATAGACTGCCTGCACTTAACATCCCAAACAATACATGTATTTTATTTTTGCTGCAAAACGTACCACCTTTTCCTTTTTAGGTTGAATTAATCGGATCCCGGGCGGTTTATGCGGCGACGACGACGTTATAAAATTTCAGTTTATTTTTTATACATGACTTTTTATACATGCAGTGATTCAAATTCTGGGTGACAAACTCATGTGTGTGAATGCATATACACCCCGTAACTGGAAAACAACTACGATTATCGTTTGTTTTAACCAATTAATTTTATTCCACTGAACTCAAAGATGGAATCAAATACTAGTAATGAGAAAAAAACATTTGAGCGGTACTTGAAATCAGCGGAGGATGGAAATGTAGTAGGACAATATAATCTTGGTTGTTGTTATCATCGTGGAATCGGAACACAAAAAGATGAGAAAAAAGCATTTGAGTGGTACTTGAAATCAGCAGAGGGTGGAGACGCAGCGGGACAATGTAATCTTGGTTTTTGTTATCGAAATGGAATCGGAACACCAAAAGATGAGAAAAAAGCATTTGAGTGGTATTTGAAATCAGCAGAGGGTGGAAATGCTGGAGGACAATATGGTCTTGGTTTGTGTTATCGAAATGGAATCGGAACACCAAAAGATGAGAAAAAAGCATTTGAGTGGTACTTGAAATCAGCAAAGGGTGGAAATGCATCAGGACAAAATAGTCTTGGTTGGTGTTATCATCGTGGAATTGGAACACCAAAAGATGAGAAAAAAGCATTTGAGTGGTATTTGAAATCAGCAGAGGGTGGAGACGCAGCGGGACAATGTAATCTTGGTTTTTGTTATCAGAATGGAATCGGAACACCAAAAGATGAGAAAAAAGCATTTGAGTGGTATTTGAAATCAGCAGAGGGTGAGCACGCATTGGGACAATATAATCTTGGTTGGTGTTATCGAAATGGAATCGGAACACCAAAAGATGAGAAAAAAGCATTTGAGTGGTTTTTGAAATCAGCAGAGGGTGGGCACGCAACAGGACAAAGTGAGCTTGGTTGGTGTTATCAAAATGGTTTCGGAACACAAAAAGATGAGAAAAAAGCATTTGAGTGGTATTTTGAGTCCGGATTAACTCAAAACCCATTTACAAATAATTATTTTATACAGACGGAATCGCATGATTGTAATAAATGTATTAAATGCCAACAAAATAAAAGCTGTGCGCCATGTTTCTTTTATCACAAACGAATTTATAACGATGAATTGTCCAGTGGAGATAAAGATATCGACAATCTATTAAAAGAATGCAACAAAATTAATTATCAATATCGAAATATATTCGAATGGATTCCTTTTGAAAGATTCACCAACGTTGAATATCTTACAAAAGGAGGTTTTGGATCAATTTATAAAGCAACCTGGTTGGATGGACCATTATATTCTTGGAATCATGAAAAAAATAAATTTAAACAAGATGGAGAAAGAAAAGTTGTGTTGAAATTATTACACAATTCAAAACAAATTGCTCCAGAGTTTATACACGAGGTAAATGAATGTTTTCTAAAGTTTCTAAAGTGAAAATTACTTTTTGTTCTAATGAAAATCAAATTTTCAAAAATAGATTCAGACTGCTCTTAAATGCAGTTATACTATTAAATATTATGGAATAACAAAAAACCCAGTTACAGATGAATATTCAATAGTGATGGATTATGCAGAAGATAGTGATCTCCGTAAATATATTCATTCCAACTACGAAAAATTGACTTGGGGTCAAAAATTAGACTTTATATATGAGATTATCGATGATCTGAGAAAAATTCACGAAGAGAAATTTTTGCATCGTGATTTTCATCCCGGAAATATATTATTAATAAAAAAAAAGTGGAACGGCACGAGTCTTCACAATAATCATGTGTTTCCTCATATTGTTGATTTTGGACTTAGCACTCAAGCAGATATAGAAAAGCCTAACCAAGAAGTTTTTGGAGTTCTTCCTTATATGAGTCCAGAAATATTAAGTAGAAAGCCATACACTACGGCTGCAGATATTTATAGTTTTGGAATGGTTGCGTACGAGATTGCAACAGGTGAACCGCCATTCAGTGAACGAAGTCATGGTGTAGATCTCGTATTAGACATTTACAAAGGAGTACGACCTACGATACCAAACAATGTTCCCGGATGGTGTAAATTTATTATTGAAAAATGTTGGGATTCTATTCCAGAAAACAGACCAACTGCTGAGTATCTTCAACACTTTATCGAACCAATCTACTCTGAAGCTTATTGGCAACCGAATACGTTACATTTTCAATACTACAGTTCTTTAGAATATCCTAAAACAGATAAAGAAATTAAAGAATGTCTCAAACTAGAGAGACAAAAATTGAAAGAACTTGATGAGACGCAACAAATATGGTTTCCTACGAGTAGAAACAAAAAACAACAAATCCATTCGAATGCAATTTACACCAGTCGAATCTTTACTTCGAAAACAATATCAATACCAACTGCTACGGGTAAGCACATTATTTTATATCAATCAAAATGGCATTTCAAATTGATTTAACTATATCAAATATATATTTAAGGTTCTACAAGTATCAAAAGAAGGTAAATTCAAAAAAAAAGTGGTAAATCAAATTAATATATTATTAACGTTAAAAATGCTTGTTTGCATGAATCTATAGAAATCGAAACCTCAACAAACACCAGTTTGTATGCTATAGAAGAAACGAATGAAGGTAAATCACAATTTGATATTTTTTTTGTTGTTTTCTTTAATTCACTACTATTCAAAACGTATTTTAGATGAAAGTAAGGAGAATACGAACGACTTAAAAGAAAAACTACAAACTCATGATTGTAGTAAATGCACTCGTTGTCAAGGAAACGATTGTTGCGATGAATATTTTGAATATCACCATCAACTTTATAAAGTTGAACCATCTGACAATAACAAGGATATCGACAGTTTAATAGAAAGAATGCCTGAAGATCAGAAGGGCATTTTCAATGGATTCCTTTTGAAAAATTTACCGATGTTGAATATCTCGCAGATGGAATTCATAAAGCATTATTATACTGTTATAAGTGGGATCACGAAGAAAAAAATTTAAACGATCTGTTGACGATAAACATAAAGTTGTGTTGAAATTACGTGAATCAAAGCAAATTGTAAAAGAGGTATTAAATTGTACAATTTTTAAAGTGTATACATGACACTTGTTTTTATTTCTAATATCATTTAAAGTAATTAGTAAGAGTCTTTCATTAGAATATGAGAGATTGGAAAAAATATGATAAAGATAAGGCGAAGAAATCGATTCCTTTAAATAAAAACAAAAAAGAACATTCCATCCAAATGTAATTTACATTAGTCGAATGTTTAACACAAAATTTTTTTCAATTACAACTCCTACTGGTATAGTAATTTCTATTACTAAATATCAATCATATTGGCAATCATATTTATTAAAATTATAGTGTCCGTTTATTTATTCCATACGAAGGTAAAGCTGCTTTAACATTACTAATGTAAGTATTTCATTGATTTCTTAATTAAAACATCTTTCTTTCTTTTGTTCAAACAGATCTTGATAATGAAGACGTGCCGAGTGACCTGCTGGTCTGAACAAGAACCAAAAGTGAGTTCAATTTATTTGTATTTACGCGCGTATATTTATTATTTAATCGTTAAATAATATCGATATGCACACAAGTCAATCTACAATCAATTGAAATTATTCATTCGTTAAAAAACACAACGATAAAAAATTAGAATTTTCAAGCTATATAGATATTTGTATTTCTTATAAAAATAGTTATTTATACCATTTTAAAGTTAATCAGTATTTTTTAGTAAATGAGTTCTTTCATTGGAATAAATTATGAATCACCAATTTTCACTTCCAGTCTTATTTTAAGGTAAGGCTTTTTTTGCTTGATTCTCACAAATGAACCATATCTTCAGGGACATAGGTCGTATATTTTCAATAGAAATTTCAACTGCAGTATGGAGATCACGAATGGTGGTAGAGCATTTTCCAGATGTGATTAATCGATAGCATTCTGCTCATAACGATAATGACTGGTTTGACCATCCTGAATATCCTTGTTGAAAGTGTATATTTTGGCACATTTTTCAAGAATAAAAAATTATGATTTATAATAATGAGAAATATGCTGTTAAAGTAGTGAAAGGGTTTTTTAATTATCCCTTAAACTCCTTATACATTCAATCATTCTAAAAAAAGATAAAGATCGCTTTTTGTCTCTTTTGGAATACAGTACTTGGCACTAGATTGGAATGTTTATAACGTCCAGCACGGTCCAATGGAACTGCAAGACTGGACTTTTAACTAAGTACATATCCGGTCTAGAAACCTCAGTTCACTATTGATATTATGAATTATGATTTGTTTCACCGATATTATAGCAGGACTGCAGTTTGCAGACGCAAGTACACAATATCCTGAACCGGCTTGACGAGGATTCAACAAGACTATTAGTTTTACATGACAAACGATGGTTTTTTCTCAATAGCATGAAGGCTTTCGTTTAATATTTCGATCAAATTATTAATGCAAACACATTTATTTTATAAGATAAAAATCAGTAATTATCATAAATATAATCACTATTACTATTTTAAAATACTTATATATGCATAAGCTTATACTAAAACTAAAATGTGTGATGTGTGTGTAGTGTGTGGTGTGTAAAGTGTAAGGTGTTAGAGAGTGATCTTTGTAATATAAATGAATTTACATTTAATCTTCCCACTAACTAATTTTATAATTCTAATTTTAAATTTTCAAGTTCAAATTGTCTACGTAATAAATTTTCATTCTTTTATGATATTCTTTACGCTCTTCTTTTTGTGCTTCATGTTCCCATTCCAACCTCAACTTAATCTCCGCATCTTTTCGTTCTATTTCCATTTTAAC